ACACGTACGCTTTCATGAACGACCGAACGTATTTCGATAAACGGATACGAGCATAAAGCATAGTCATGTATCTCGGTCATGAGTTAATTCAATTTAAGCACTTCGACCCTTTGTTGGTCCGATTCGAGTCTCCCAACCCTAAATTGTTCTGATTCTGTCTGCACTCACGCGAAACGAGAATAGTGTTTCCAAAGTTCACATTAATTCAACATTTCCACGGAAAATGCTAAGTTTGAAAAGTATTTATGTTTATAGCAATGATTATACAGAAATAACGTTTCTGTTACTAAAACCCTTTAACATGAAAATAAAATAAAAATTTGATTAAATTTTTATGTAGACACATGTTTTCCTATATTCTTACAAATTATTTTACATAATCAGAGACAGGAAAAAATTAATTTTAAACATTTCTTGTGCCTAATCGTGCATAAGCGTTCGAATATTTTTGTTGCCGACTGTAAAAGTGTTTCGCTACACTTTGGGCGTTTAAATAAACTAGAACTGAATAAATATCTGGAGTTTACTACTCAAGCTAACAGCAAGTTAATTGAACTAAGTTAAATTATTTAAATTAAGCAACATTAACACTAGACTGGTTTCGGTTTCTTTGTCTCGCAATTATTGATATCTTAAAAGCATTGAATATTCGAAATAACCTTGAAAATAAATAGTTTCACTTGAACACTGTAATGAGTGTCTGAAGAAACTGAAAATCATCTATTATTACAATTTGTATAGGAATTGCATACAATCGTATGAAATTCTCGATAGTTTTAATGTTAAAAACTGCGTTCCGTATTGTTTAGCAAAAGACTCAAATTTGGATTACACGGTTTGCGAATGTATGAAGCGTTAGCCAAAAGTTATAGCTGGCTATGAGGGGATAACGATAAGAGTAATGTGTCCCTGGTTGCGAGAGAATACGGTTATGCTGGCCACAGCGAATGGGGCTACGCTCTGTCAGGACTGCAAAATGTAATCGGCACAGCGCCCTCAATTATTAATTGGTAACCGCGTTAATTACTTGCAAGGGTGTAGGCACGGCTGTCACTGGAACAACGGCGTAGCCACGGTAGAATTCCTCGCTAGAGCTAAATGCAGTTGAATCACCGCCGCTGTTACGCATTAAATTTTATCGATTCAGGAATCGAACACGACGATGCCGATGAAATAATTCTGTAAATTGAATTCCGAATTTGAATAAGGCAAATTCTTTCCTCTTCGTAAAATTAATTGTTTTCTAAAATTTGTTTCTGGTGAACTGTAAAAAGATAATGAATTTGAAAAAAGTGTCTTATTATAGAACGAATCGTGTATGTCAAATTAATGAGATTTTCTAGGAAATGAGGTTTTTAAAGATATTATAATAACATAATTTTTGTGGAATGTAAATAAAATCTAAAAATAGATATTAAAAATAAGTAAATATCTATTTCTTTCTATTTTATATATATGTTATTCATGTTATGTTAGAAAGTAAATATTTATTTTGAATTACCCGACATAAATTGGTAATTATTCCCTAAACCTTATCCCCACGTCTATCAAATACGAAAGTAAAAAGAAAAGTAGTATTTATGATATATATTGATGTTTTCTGCATCAGATATTCAAGTAAGAAATCTACCACATTTTGTCAAGTCTAATATTAACTTTCTCAAAAATCTTTTAATATTAACAATAAAATATAAATCTATCTATCTTTAATACTAACTTTCTCAAAAATCTTTTAATATTAACAATAACATATAAATCCATCTTTAATACTAACTTTCTCAAAAATGAGAAACCTCTGTTGCTATAATATCATTCTTCTCCAATACCAACAGCAATTTGCAAAACAGGAATTCTTCCATTATCAACGTACCCAGGGAAAAATATTGCAACTGTAAAACCTAGTTTTTAACTTACTGGAAACAATAGTGACATGCTTGTTAAGTACCATCCACTACTTTGTTTTAAAAGGGCAAAAAATAGAGATATATTTCAGTAGCTAGTTTTTGCGCAATCCTCCCGGACAATTACATAAATGATCGAGCCCGCTCAATCATCCTTGGAGTAGAAATGAAGCCTTGAGACCTGGAAAATTTCCGGAAACCGTCGCTTTTATCCTCGTTCCTGCCGTTACGTCGCATTTGCTTCCACGAAACAAAAGTATCGGTGAGCCGAGAATTTAATATCGGCAGGAGAAAATTACAGGAAGTTCAGGTAGGCTTGCTCAACTCAGGAATGGAAGCAAAAAGATCAAATTAACGAGGCACTTACTGATCTTCGATGGGTTGGATCGCGCTATAATTCGTAAGGAGACACGCTGGCCGAGTGCCACCGGTCTTTGGAACTACACGCGCGTTATGTAAAAGAAACCAGTTTTCGAGGAATTACTGTGATCGACTTCAGAAAACGTGAACAGCCCAAAACATTGCGTGGCCTCTTGTTTTCTCTCGGTTAAGGAGCTATACTGTGTGTGGCTTAGAACAATAGTCTAGCTCCTGCATCTGAGTTCTCCAAAAAGAGACACTTTTGTGAAATGTTCTTAAATTAATACTAGATTTAAAGACATTTACTGCTCTGCTTGTTCTATCGTTCTTAGAAATATTGATATTCATTCGTTTAGATCTTGGAAATTAGAGGTTTAAAAGTGAACAACTAACACATGTTTACTACCATTCTATGTTACTCGAAAAAGTAATTACTACTCTATCTTCCATACAGTACAATGCGTTAAAATACTGTACTTCCCCATATGCGCGACATCGAAGAACACGAGTAAGGGTGAAATCGCGACTGCCCGTAAAAACGTGGGAAAAGATAAACCTTCAATTTCCTACAATTACTGGCATCGGTTTTCTACAATTCCCGATATCGGAAAATAAACGAAGCCTTTATCAGTGGTGTTGATTGCGAGCGTGGACCGCTGCTATCAGATACATATCTCTGCCCAACATTGGCGGCCGTTCTACCCGTTAATCGTGCAACAACCGATCGAGTTGTGTCCCGATTGAACCGAGACTCGTCCCTTGATACACGGGCTACCGTCGTAGCGACCGGCGCGGCGCGCTCTCTCGCAAGAAGAGAAGCCTCGGAACGGGGCTGGCTCTCGCGGAGATAAACAAAGGTACAACGAAACCGTTTAATTACCGAGGACCGGAGATTAACTCTAATGGAACGACGGTGTTTCGTGGCTCGTATGGTGCAGCGGGCCGCTGATTGGCCGCGTTATCCTGTCTGGCGCCTGTCAGACTGAAGGAACTTTTCGGTTCGATCCCCGTCGCCGAGCGGGCTTCTACCGCGGCGGCCCCTATGCCGAAATCGATTGTCGATAAGCTCGTTAAAAATTAGTAATAAACACCTTCAGCAACGAACTCGGTATTACTGGATAATTAGCGGAATTGGTAATTAGAACGTCCGCTAAATTGATACTCAGCTCGAATCAATTGAAACACCTGAACGGTTCCGCGACACGCGTTACGCTTTTGAATTCTGTCCGCGTTATGGAAGTCGACGCGGTTCTTCTGGATAAACATTGTTTCTTTTGCTTATCTTCCAACCACTTTCAGAAATAATCTCGAATTAGAAATATTTACCCTTTACAGTCGACCACCGTAATGGCGACTTCGAGGTTTGATGTCTAACCTTTATACGTGGACGTGAATTTAAACTTCGAGTATAGGAGTTTGAAGATTACTAATTAATGTTAAATATACTTGTTTGTAGCAAATAATAAAGGAATTTATTGTATTTATTTGTTTTTAGTTAGTTAAATATTTTTGCGTAGATATTGAAATTTCGATTTGAAACAGTTTTATATAGTAGTGTATTAAGTAGTGACTTAATATGGTTACTTATTCCGACAATTTTACTGTATCAAGTATAGTTATTGGGAATGTTTAACAAAAATTAGAAATAGTTTTGACAAAACTCTTTTTTGTGTGGGAATATTACAATTGCTAACAACTCAGCCATTTTGTAAATATTTAATAAATTTTAGAGAACTCCAATTGCTGAATTTTTTAAGATATAAGTTTACCGTGTGGTTGCATACAAGTTTTAAATGACCTACATAAAATATTACATCCAATTATTCTGTAATTTAAAAAATATAAATAGTCAAAGACAAATATCTGCAATATATATTGTAAATTCATAGTTTGTATTATCTAAGTGTTAACACATACGTGTAAGATATCTAACTTTACTTACTTATATATTTCAAATTATCGAGTTGCAGCATCCTATATTTTACACTTGTCACAGGGGATACGTATGCTGCCATTGTGAAAGTATATTATAATCGAAGTCAACCAATGGCTCGTTCCGTTGTTAGTGCTAGAAAACAGACACCCTGATGCTCCCCCTTAAAGATGGACCGACGAATCGAATTAACTTTATTACGTTTGTCTTCTGTTTTCCGCCCAACAACCGTCAGTCTGTGTTCACCCCCAGTTTCACTCGGTCAATTTCTCTGGTCTCTGCTCCACCACTCTGCTCATTGTTCACTATTCAACCAAACCGAGTAGATTGAAGAGTTTTCCTTTTTTCAGCTTGCCTAACAATATGGATTATACTTTAAAACTCTATGCTGTATGGAACTGTGATTATTAAAGTATTAATTTGTTAAGTATGCGTCATAGATATATTCTGGTTAACCATGAAAAATGTCTTGTTTGCGACAAATGTAAAATTCATTAACACATTTTCCATGTATATATACATATATAATTTTTAAAGTTTCATGAACTTGTTGTAGAATCATTTCTTTAATCATTTCATTTAAATAGACGAAATTGTTAACAGCTTTTGTTACACTGCGTATTATATTTCAATTCTACTGCAAACAAAACTGCATTATATATGTTATATTAAATATAACAACAGAATACTTTCTAAAAAAAAAGAAATCTTCTCCGCAAATAATTCACTGCCGCCGCGAGTAAAACATTTAACTTTCAATTCGAATGAAAACACTCGATCATCTTCAGTTTCCATGTCTGTTTCAGGAGACAAACAGCGGAAGAAAGGGAAGCCGAGAGGCAGGCGGCGAATCGTTTAATGCTGTCCCTTCAAGCGGAAGCACTTGGGAAAGTAGCTTATCCTACAACAGTATCCAGCCATCCAGCAGGGACTACTGTTCCCAGTTTGGATAGGCAGCAGGCGCCCGCTGCACTGACCCACCCCGTCGGTCAATGGGCTTCGCCGTACGGCCCACCGCAACCCCTAGCCGAACCAATTTGCTGAATCCCGATGATTCATGTGACTTGATAAACTTTACTGCTGGATGAACTTGAGGCGCCAATTATGTCACTTTTGTATTCGATCGGCAAAAATATTGTTGCAACTCTAATAGATACCTCTGCAAATAAAATTTGCATGTGTAGGCGAATACATTGTTATCTTAACACTTAATGAACGGGTGATTTTTTGTCTATCTTTTACCACTCCCGAGAATTTTTGAAGAAATTATATAAACCTGTAGACATGTTTTTAAATTATTGCTGTTTTATTAAATTAGTATCATTATTAATACAATTTTGAGAAATTACTTATTTTCATGTCTAGTACTTGTTACTAATACGGTGTTCTGCAAAACGTTAAGTTACCATGAAAATGTGTAAATCTACGTGTCCTGTCCGTTAAGTGTTAATATTAATATTTTATTGTCTTACTATATACGTCTAGATATTTACTTGATATTACGCCTTGATTGACGATGGGATCAAATTCAGTCTGAGTGTCGATCAATTTGATATTCCATTATATATTTATAACACTTTGTTTGATTCGTAGTCGAGGAAAGCTCAGTATATTTAGCATGCTTTTGGACATGTAATGAGTATGCGTAATGTTTGAAATTATATATGCAACACGTATACAAAATTTAAATGTACAGTTATATTTTAATTATAAAATTAAAGTACTACTTGTAATGTATATGGTTCCAATGCTAGTTAATTAAATCGAAACAAACTTTTTTAGGGCAGTTTTGAAAATTTGACGTCTTTTAATTGTTCATGCCATAACATAGTTGGCTTGGTGGAACGTTTTAAAAAAGAGTGAACTTTTTTTCTAAATTAATTTGTTGTCTTTAGAGACCTGTTGTTCCGAATTTTTATTTATCAAATCACTTAATACCTACGTAGTTTGAAAAATTAAGAATTTTTGGATAACTTAAGTGGTTCTATGTTTTTGCCTTATTATAAACTCTTCATCTTTAAATAGTCTTGTTTGTTCCCAGAAATTATTAAATTTGTATAAAGTTATGTAATTAGGAATGAATACATTTGTGATTAAGTTCAACCATTTCCTTTTTTCATTAAAGAAAATGTAGTAGTTGACAGAGTTTGACTAAATAAGAAAAAAGTTTTTATATTATTAACAAAGGTAGAATAAGAAGTACAGAGTGTGAGTTGTAACAATATTATTCTCGATTTAACATGTCACGATCTAACGAAGCTGACGAAGTTTCGCTTCCAAGGTTCCTTCGAAGTAAGTTACACGAAAAAAATTGCATTTACCAATGAAGCACTGAAAATGGTAATTATTAATATTACTTCATACGCACACGGTAAACTTTTTTAAATGATTTGTTACTAAAATTTTATCATAATCTAAGCAGTAAAATATTTACTTGCCTGCTAGTTGTTTTATACGCTTCCAAAAATTAGTACAAATGTATGAGTGTTTTTAAAAATGTGTGAAATTTTCGTAAAGTCACTTATATGCATTAAACGAATGAAAAAGCTATTTTATATCTATGATATTGATTTAAATTTTCACTAGTATTAAATTCTCAATATTCGAAGAAAAACATTTCTGCAACTCTTTAAACAGAAAAACTTTCTCCTTTTAACTTCCATGCGCATAATATTTTAGTAGATTGTAAAATAAATCATCTTGAATGCTACACGACTCCAAATTTTTCAACGATGGTGATAATATTAAATCTATATATTAATTTCCACACGAATAAAAAGTTTTTTCATTTTAATTTAATGTATAAAATTGATTTTCCAAAAATATCTTATATTCGTATACTAAAAGACACCCTGTGCTAAAAAAGTGTACAAAATTAATTTGATTGAAATGAGGACATGCGTTATCCTCTTTTTGTTAAATTAACCCATTGATATATCTTTTCTTCCAAGATGTAACAATAAATTAAATATTGTTCTGTTATCAATAGTACAGTCCATAATCAAAAAATTAAAGCCACCAGTCTTAACATCACATTTTTCTCGGTAATCATAGCATTCGAAGTCCAAAAGGTAATTGAATAATACTTTCTTCACCGCAGCATTAACCCTTTGTATTCCCAAAGTATCTCATTGAAAATGCTAAACATTCTCTAACGAGGACATTTTCTAAAACTAACTTAACGAGAAATCGTACATAAATTGAGGAACAAAACTATTTTATTCCAATATTTCACATATTGATGCATTATACAAATTTTAACCCTTTGGGGACGAATGTCAACATTTTGGTGGAATCAAAGTTTCATATTTGGAATACTAAGTTGGAAACAAATGGTTTAATTATTCAAACAGCAAAAAATCAGTGTACATAGTTTCTTTTTTCTGTATTATTTAAGCATCTGATATATAATTTGACTTCATCTGCTGAAGATTTCGTATACTTCAATGAATCTTCGTCCGTAAAGGGTTGATATTAATACCCTTCCTTATAATAATGTGTCATACTCGTGGCGAATATTTTGAACAGAATTTAAAAAATATACATATTACTCAATGTTTGTGTAATATAAATATTACACAATTCAAATTGAATATTATTTTTCTATTGTCAATTGGTATGCTTCACAGCAAACATAAATATTAATTACAAAGTAGGTGTATCGATTACAGTTGCGAAATAAATCATAAGGCAAGAGGTTAAATATTAAACTTTACAATTTTATCGTGTCAAATCAATTGGCGAGAGAAGTCTCTAGAGTACAAAGGGTTAAGATCAATAACTAAGCAATGAAACTAAACCTCAGTTATAAATAATTAATATGAGGAAACAACCAGACAAGAATCAGATTGCTGATTTATTATGACATTGTGATTGCTGATTTGTTATGACGGTGGTCCTAATTTTTCGATCAGGGGCCGTAGGTGTCTACTCTTAAACGCGAAACGCAATTCGAACGCGTTACGCGATCGGTTGGCCAGGTTAAAAAATGCACGGCGCAATGATGATTTTATTAGCTTGGTCAGATTGTCAATTAAGCTATGTTCCCATCATTTTTACACCGGTTTTTCCGTAATTTCGTTAAACGTCTCGATGGATCACGCAACGAAACGAGTCGACGGCAGCGAATCGCAGAATGGATTGAATTCGCCGTAACCTGCTCGCATTTGACGTGTAAACAATCGTCATGAACACGTAATCAACATTTAGGATCGTAATAATCGATACCAAGTAATTAACGGAAAATCTTGTTCGCTAAAAACATAATGTCGTTAAATCTCCCGGAGGGTTATAAGTTTATCGTGATATTCAGAGTCACGCAAAACGGTCCTAACTGGCCGCATTCAATTATTCATACGTTCGTTCCGCACGTCCCTGAAGATTACTGCTGTTAGAGAACGCAATTTTTCGTTACACTAAAGGCAGACAATTGCAAGAAACGATGGGCACGTAGGAATCTTTCAAAAATAAACAGATGTTTGACGTTTTGTGTAAAAACAGAAGAATTCTTTTAGAGTAGACCAGTAAAACTTATTATATTGTACAACGTTGTATTTACATATTGTTAGAAAGAGAATAATTATTATTTTTACTTTATAAAGCAAATTTAATACTACAACTACCGAGCATTTAGTACTTTTAATATGTAATCTCTATGAAAATTATAACAATAGATTATTTTTAGTTTTTTCACACATTCATTATAGTATTCACGTGAAAATATTTATTTTTAAATCATTTCGAATATATCAATAATTGTGAAACAAAAAACCGAAACCAGTCATTTTGACAGGTAGTTCTTGTGTTAAACGAAGATTTAATAATTACTAAGAAAACAATTCATTATTAAACGTACACCAAAATTACTCGAGAAAATCTTTTGTGTGTGCTTATTAACGTTGTCTTGAGCCTTTGAATTCTCAATTCTAACACATTCACGACTTTTCAAATTCTATTTCTAGTTACCCGTAACGTGAATTTACGTTTTTTCAAATATAATAACTTTCAAAATATTTTATTCCTCAGCTCTTTTCCATTTGCTACTTCTTTGGAAAAAATGGTTGACAAAAAATTTGGTACAATTATCTGCAAGCTCTTACTGAACCATGTTATTTTGGCTAAAAAAATTTCTGATCGAACGGCTAGCAGCAGAATAATTTAAACTGATCACGCTTCGTGGTCCACCGTATATAATCACGAGAATATTGTAGTTCAAAACCTATATACCGGATAACAGTTTGAACTTTATTTCGGTCCTCCATAACTGTTTTTGTCGGAACCGATATACAGGGTGTTTCTAAATTATTGCACACAGTCCGTCGACTACCGACGAATCGACAACTTTGGATGCTGTTATCTTGATAACGGCTTAAGTGAAAAATTTCATATCTATAGTTTAGAAACGTTTGAATGTCGGCTTCAAAAATATGGAATAGAAACCATAGAGTTCTACTTAAGAATTGTAACATGACGTTACCAGGATGTTTCATGGTCATGTCACGGTCATATATCTCCCGCTGTGATATGTAGTATTTCATACCCTGTAACTTTTGTTTAACACATTTGTTTGTATCACTGATACTTTTCGAGATAATTCGGTGTTCTTTATTCGATGCCCATTTTGAAACAAAATCTATTTTTATCCTGGTAACTATGGAGTTTTGGACCCATGTTTACTGCAGCTTTTTTACTTAGTTTAGTGGATTGTATACGCCCTATCATTTGCAATCATTTTGAAACACCTTGTATAACAGTTTCAAACAGTTGATTTCGGAACCTTTTCAATCCCTGATTTCAATGAAATCGAAGGAACAACCAGTGTACTTATATTTATTCGCGTAACGCGATCGTTTAGATGTTTCGATAACTAACGCGCAATGATCCTCGACACAAATTTATTGTAACGATCACACGAGCACATCGTTATCAATCTACTGCTTTCTTCGGTGCAACGATATTGGCACTGACAAGGAATCTCGCAGATCGAATGGAAAAGAGCGTTAGACGCCGCCGAGTCGTCTTAATCGCTCTATTTCTAGGTAATATCAACGTCTTATGCCAAGACAGCCAATTTTATCGACATACTTAATTAACGAGGCGAAGGGTCTGATAGGGAGCTAAAAAGAAACTTCGATAATTACAGAGTGCTTTAGTTTCACGGTTGCCTGTAAGGTCACTTTAGGATGAATTGACCTGCGAAGAAGTGGTCTAGTGACATTAAAAAGAATTTTAACGGATGGGGAACGACGAAGGTGGCTGCATAAAGTAAAATCGAAATGACTCCGCGTTTTATCAA